CCACATGAAACATCACACGGAGAGGAACTCTCAGCGCCATCACCCAAAACTTTGAGTCGTCTTCCAATCGCCTGCGTTCTTCTAGCTCCGCCTTGGTCAACCACGGTTTGAAGACCATGCCGTATTCAATTCCTCAGATCGTTACTTTGTCTTCACCTTTTGCAATCATCCACTGGGCCACCTCTCTGGACTTGGCTACGTAAGGGAGCACATTTGGTCCCTCCCCATGAATCCTTCCCTGCTTCACCGATCTATCAAAAATTCTCTCTCTATACCAACCATTCTCGTATGCCCGCACCAAATCTTCCCTAGTCCTGAGAGGAAGGTCCCTTGCTTCTCCTTGAAAGATAACCGTCACGGTCCTTTCTTTATGCCAGGCTGTTACTAACATATCCAGGCCTGGGTTGACTTTGAAGAGGCGAATTCCTCTTTCCACCACGCATTCTCCATGCCGAAATTTCTCGGGAATCGTCCCCTCCTCATAGCATTTCGCAATGAGAATCTTCATCCGATCTTCGTCCGACATGGAGATATCTGTCCTCGTAGTAGGAACCGTAGCTCTGCCATCTTCCTGAGGTATTGCCACTCCTTGATCCACCATCTTGAAGTCAAATCCGCATCAGTTGCTATATCCCGCCAACACCAGCAGCGGTTCGCACGTCGAAGGCGGGCGCTATTCAGCACACGCCCACTGTGTTACCCACACGACTGAAAGCCCTATCACGACACACACGTCATATGCTTACACGTATTACAGTAGGGCAGCATCATCACCAAGGCTTGTTGGCGGGAGGATGGAGACACTCGGTGTTCCCGAGGCTACGTCAACCCTAATCGCTTGCACGTCTTGGCGGCGAGTCAAGCGGCCAACTAGACCGGCGGACGAAAATTTTCTGTTCAGCCGGTAGCGCAAGTGCAGAGTGCTGACTGGGAAACCACCTTTTTTCTCACTTTTATCCTACTCTCGTATTGAAGCTTTTATCTACTTGAAAAAAAAAACCACCTTATTCTGCTCTCGTATTGAAGACTGCCACTCTCTGATTGAGTAACCTGACTGACTCGTTCTTCCCCCGAACATAGCACACCCTGATAATGAGTGAATGTATGCAAGCTATCTTTCCTGTCCAGTACAGCCATAACGAGGGTGCGTTGTGTTCGAGGGAAGATGGTAGACAGCGGTCATGGGCACGAGCGCTGACTGGGAAACCTCCTTTGAGGCCTACTGTCTTCAGCCGAATAGAGCGCCTGGCCATTATAGCTGTATTTGGTGCAACTTTGAGTCCAGGTGCGGCAATAATTACCCGGCGTTCTATTCGGGTTGAAGACGGTAGGTGAGGGAATGTGGCACGAGCCTCAGAGTTGCAACCCCCCCCCCCTCCCCCCGCCCCAGCGCCGTGATATGCGGTGGGTGATTTTTAAGGTTAATTTTTGTTAGAGAGTTTTAGTTGATTTAAATAATAATAATAATAATAGCAGTAAATTGGAATTTGAACGTTAACTGGTTTCACGTCTGCATTTTGATGTTTTTTTTAAGTCAGTCGTTCTCTTATTATATCGGGATCGCGACCCGATAGAGCCTCGATTAGCATGGAGATGAGGAGAGCAGATTTCGGACAGAAAGGGGTATATAGAGGTAAAATCATCGACACAAATCCCATCTTGAGGTTTTGCAATTGCCAGAGTACCCGCTTTCAAATGTACCCCTTGGGTGTGAAGGCGACCAGGTGCATCATCTTCTGGACCGAACGAGCTATGTCGTTCTTAAACCCTGCTTCATGAAACGGCAGTGTAAATCCGCACCACCATCTTTGTCCATTTTTCATATATATATTTTTTCTCCACCATCTTTGTCCACATTTGGCTGATTGTTATTATTATTATTATTATTATTATTATTATTATTATTATTATTTTAAAATCGACGGACTCGAAATAGCACATCACATACTTGGAAGCGGTATGAATCCGTCGGTGGCGCTCGGTGGGGTGAGACTAACTACGCAGTCGTTGGCCGTTGGCTGCTTCGTCGTCTACTGACTTGACTTCATACCCTTCGTAAATAAATTAAATTATGCCTGAGTAGCAGAAAGGGATGCCCCAAGCGATCTGTCTAATACTATGGAAAGTTGATAGGGGATAGGGTGTCAGGATGGGGTATTGCCGACCTCCGATGCTACTTTAGGAAAAAAACCACGTTAGGAAATTCCTAATCATGCTGTTGAAGACTGAGGCTGCATTGACAACTACCGACTTCGTACCCTTTGGAAATAAATTAAGTTATGCCTGAGAAGCAGAAAGGTCTGGCCGAAGAGTTGATAGGGTGTCAGGGATGGGGTAGTGCCGACCTCCGATGTGGTAGCCATCTCTCAGGCTTGATTGAGTCGTTGTAGAAAGAAAGAAAAACTACTTTAGGGAATCCCTAATTATCTGAGTACGGATCCGGGCCGCCCGGCCGACCAGACCCTGCCCGGGGGAGGTCCCGGGCGGCCTGGCCGGGCGGGCGGCCCGGTTGGGGGCCGGGCACCCCCAGCACACCTTGTTGGGGGGGGAGTTCCGACCCCGAATAACCGAGTTGTGGCATCCTCAGGGCCTACCGGGTCCGACCAGGCCCAAAAAACGGCGCGTCGGGCCCGTGAGGCCAGTTCTTTTTTTTGAATATGTGACCGCCCTGCGGCCGTCGATCATCCATGATCGACGGCCAGAGGGCCGTTTGATTTTTGGAGGGAAAAACGAGGCCCCGTTTGAACAACCGACTGGCTGGGGCGGCCTGCATCGGCTGTCCAAACGGGGCCTTGGTTTTCCCCAGCCACCTGCGTTCGAGGTTCAGCCGCCCTCGCTCCTCCTGCTGCCCGTTGTCGCCATCGCCTGGGAGCTACACTCCCCCGTCGTCGTGGAGTCGCCCGTCGCCCGTCGCCCGTCGCCCGTCGCCAGCGTCGTGGAGT